CATGCAATTTATTTTCTGTGTAGAAGGCAAGAAATGGACCGACCGTTTAGCAAAGACCTGGTTAAGTACCATTGTTCTACCGAGAGATGAACAAATTAGTATATTTTACTGTACAGAATTCTTAATTTGGGAAAATTTGACACGATAACATGTCGTATGAAGCTAAGGAAAACGGCTAGGAATTAACTAAATCTTGCTAATTTTTCTTATCATATCGCATTTTCCCTCTGTTAATGAGACACTATAGTATCAATGCGAATTCGTATATAACTGGAATTACAGATTCTCATGTAACAAAACAAATGTTAAACAAGTTGATAATAAGCAAATACTATAGTTTCAAATGCTGTACATAACGTTAATATTTGACTATAGAAATGAAAATGACGAAAAGGTAGCACGTATCTATGTAAGAATAGCAGAGAGAAATTCAAGAATTGCTTAGCAAAATGTAGATAACGAAGCCTCTAATTGCGTGTATTAACTAAAAAGGGAATGATAAGCAACTAAAGAACAAATTCTTCAAAAACTAAAACTTAAGAGTAATTTTAAGAATAAAGGTCTAATCCTTCATGAAGGGAAGAGAATTTAATCCCTCTTTGCCAAGATATTTTTCAGAACTTTTTTTCTTATATTTCATCATACTTTATTTATTAAATTTTTATTAAATTTTTGGTCAATGGATGATGCTACGAGCTTTACATTTAGCTAACACATTCTGGGATTTCTCCCGTAGACCCATGTTTATTTTTAATTAGTTTCATTACCGCAGCTGAAGAAAAAAGATTCTGCTAAACATTGTAAACTATATATCATTGCAAACCTATTCACGTTATACGGATTCGTCATACTTATTATTATTTACTTTAGTATCTCCTGTCTGTACATCGTGTAACTCATGAATGGGAAGCATGCTGATACATAGCATTTGCTTATTATCAACTGGTACTATAGTACTATAGTACCAGTACTCGAGTAGTTAACACCGCTCAGTTCTAGTACTTTGACTCGGGTTCGAATCCATGCAAACGGGATTATGTTATGATTGATTTTCATGATTTTCCCTATATATAACGTTAATACGAGCCAGTTTCCCTTACAAAATTCGCCACGTAGGCATCCCTTGCCTTGGTTAGATAGTCATGCGCTTCGATGTGTTCAAATAATCTAACCTTAACCATTCTGACACGATTGCACTTCATAATTTTAATGTATTGTTCGAAAAGATTAGAAAGCTAGACGTCTAAATCCCTGTCATCTACAACAAGAACAATATTTTCAATTTGTTATCAAAAAAACGAAAAGCGTTGCAATATGCCGCCTAAGCATTTTACAATTAATACGCATACAAAACTAATGTTACGAAACAAGCCCAATGTCTAAGACGCGCATGTCGCTGATTCCTATTTTTACCTTTTCTTGGTAATCTCAATAAGACATATCTTAGAAATGACTGCTACCATTAATGAAAACATGTTTACAATTTTTGACTGACAAAAATGAAGCATATTTTGTAGTAATTACAAAAACGAAACAAATTCGGATTATTATCAAAGCGACTGAAAGAGACACACAATGGACACATGGTCTACGTTCAGTTTGCTTGATTATGGACTAGAAAATTTTGTTATTTTTTGCATTGTGATCAAGAATATTGCTTCTTTTCAACTTGCCTGAAGATCGTTTATCAAGTACTACGAAATTAACTCATTCAAACAGGACTTAAATTTATATGCCATTTTAACTTAAACTTGATACGTTTTTATAAATAAATTTTTAGAAATAAGTGTCTAAGAACTGAATTGCTTTTTAGTATTGATTTAAATGTGATCGTTAAAATCACTGTTAAGTTTATGAGATTTATCTTTGTTATATCACGAGAAAACACTTGGATTCAACAATTGCTTATTGCCGATAGTATTTATGTTAATTAATTAATTAAGAGTAAACGCTTACATAATTTTATCCTTTTAGAAGAACTATGGTAACATCGAATTGAAAATAAATTAAGCATAAAATAATCGCAACATGGAATGTTCAGCTATTTCGATTGAGTATTTGATCAAATTTATTCAGCAATTTATTTTATTATTCTTTTTATTCTATAATATTTTTGCAGGATTTAACCCGGCGGTTAGTTAATGCCAAAAAAAAATCTGAAGGTTTCAGATTTTAAATTACGTCCAAAGGGGACGTTTTTTTAACGTGTTGTGTGTTGGCTTTATTTATTAAATATCATGGTCTTCTCACTTAAGCCATAAACTTCAGTTCAATAGCAATGTCGCAAAATAAGTTAAAAATGAGCCTATCTTTAGAATTTCCGATGCACAGTTCCGCGCGCTGGAGATAAAAAGGTTCCCCCCCCCGTACATTGTTGCCATTGCTCGCTTTCAAATCGTTGAGTTTGTTACTCAAAAATTCGTTAAAGTTTCATAAAATATGAAATCTATAATAAAACAAATTCCAAATTTCAAATTTGGGCTTCCACATGCCCATATTCGCAGTAGGTTTACGTCATTCAAAATTCGATGGCGCTATGTACCGTTGTTTTATCACAATGCGAGAAATATACATACATTTATACAGATTTTTCATTACTTAATTTTTTCAAATATAATGCAGGACTCTAACATTGGGTGGCAACAGTTTGAAAAGCATAACGGACATTTATAGTGATTCAACGCAAAATCGAAAAACGAAAACAATAGTCCTTCAGGGACAAAGCCCCTTGGGACTAAAAAGAATATTAAAATAAATTATTAAAAGAATTCATGAAATTTTTTCGATCTTGTTTATTTCTAGATCTACATCTTTCTAACAACTTGAATACATTCCACTTCATTCTCCTTGTCGTATTTTTTTAATATTCAAAAAAGATCGTCATTAATAAATTATTTCATGTTATCACACTTTCTTAAAAGTTTATGAGAAAATTAGTATCAACAATATTGTTTTTATTTCAGTTGAACATTTAATGTGGCAATAATGAAACACTAAACTTTGAAGCCAATAGACTAATTTAAAAGGTAAATCAGCATTTTATTATGGATATTTCAAAACAGAGTGCTGCTTTCAATTCTGCTATGTTTTACTCCTGTTTTCCAGTTCAACCCCACTTTAGAAGTATACGAATATTTGCAAAGCTGCTCGGAAGGTGAAGGAGTTAGCAATTAAGGGTTACTGAACTATATAATTCTTTCCAGGATCAGTCTCTGCACTAAACACAGTAGTTCACTTAGTAAGTTGAGATTACACTAAATCTCTAACACTAGTTCAATATACCATTTGCACCACTAAGGCTAGGGAGAAAAATTGAGTTAAAATTTTCCAGCTTCTTTCTGTGAAGCCAAAGAAGTTTAGAAATCGAGCACCTCTTGCAGTCAGCACAGCAATCGCGCAAATTTAAGTAAATTCGCAAGTATGTAAATGCGCTTACATTCAAGATGATTGCGACGCTGACTGCAGTACCGAAGGGCCCGGATTCAAATGCCGAAGAAGGCATAGATGTTTGCAAATGTATAATGTCTAATATGCAGTGAGCAGAAAGTCCTCTGGATAAGCGGTCTATCCAGAGGACTCTGGATGTCCTCTGGATGGAGGTGGGGGTTCTAGAGAACCCTCGGACCGCCCCCATTATAATTACACTTAGAGACTCGTTAAGTCCTAGGGTCGGTGGTCATTTTGGTAGTGTTTTCGGTGTGCTCTCCATCAAAATTGGAGGCGGAACTGAGCAAAGTCGTACCGTCACCTGTATGCTGCTTAAGTTCGTGCTAGTTGACAACAACAACACATTTAAGATGAAATCTACCAATTACAAATTCCTGCTTTGTTCGGCCCTTAAATTGAAAGAGTCACATAATTAGTTAAGTTACATCTTTTATAAAAAAAATAAAGTTCTGTTGCTATAGGAGAAAAGTTGAAAATGATTAGTTCTTATGTAGAGAGAAGAAAATATATCAATAACAGCTCAGTGTATAAATTAATCTATTTCGTTAGTGATTATGGTAGTGAAATTTAAAGTTTGCATTCCTGAGAGCCAATCATAATTGGCTCTCAGGAATGCAAACTAAAATGTCCAATGATAATTCCTTACTTACAAAGTGTTTTATTACTGTGTATTGTTTTCATATTCTTCTGCATATTTTTCGCAGTTTTATAGTCTACATCCGAGTACTGCTGCATAAAGTCCTATTTATAAAATAATTCTATAAAAATCATAGATGAGTAGCAGCTTCTTTGGAAATTACGCTAAGCAATTAATAAATTAAACTTATTTAATTCGTAAATTTGAAGATACGTGAAACTTTACGGAATGCATTTGCTGGGGGAGTGGCATCGGGAAAGGGGAAATAACCATAACTTAGTTCCTGTAATTAAAAACAGTTATATTAAATTAAAAGTTTTATCTTATTCAATTCTAAGATGACATTTCTTCCATGTAAAAATCACTAAAATTATAATGCGTTTTGAAATGGATGGCATTTTAGAATCGCAAAGATTTGGAACTCTTAGTTATTCCGCAGTAATTATGTTTTCCAAATTACTCACTTAATTAGACTTGTTATTAAATAAAATCTGATCCTTTTCACTGTTAAATTTCTTCTCTAATTGCCTATAATGGCATATCAGTTGTTATCTTATTTGATCACATCTGTTAGAAATCTGTGAAGCTGTCCCCAAATGTAATCTTTGTGCTTACATTTATTTACATGTACTACCACAAAAAAAAAAAAAAAAAAAAAAAAAAGTTAAAGCCTTTTTGGGGCTGAACAATGTCTAATATGTAATGGGTAAAAACAAAACGTGAAATCGATATAAGTACCTATTGAGAGTCATTTCAAGAGCTAAAACACCCCTCCAATTATATTTCTGAAGGATGCGTGAGTGCAAAATGCTGAATAGCAGAATGCATTCAGATGAGGATACTTTTTGAGACTCCCTTATTTATCGTTTTATTCTGTAAATTTCTGAAACATTTTTACTCATATTTTAATCTGCATGTGTGTTGCATAAAGATGAAAATTCTTTTAACCATAACCGTTGCTTTTCAGGGTGTCACGTATCCCGCTTGCCATGGAATCTGGAGGTACTGGGCCCCGCCAATGGAAAGAAGTCGCTTGGCAACCATTGCCTTCTGCGGTAAGATTTATGCACGTATTACCCTTAACGGATAGTATTTATGTTATGTGTTTGTTTCGGAGATATCATTCAAGTTTTCTATCCCCTGTAATTCCCTGATAATTGCATAGTTAATAAATATAAATTTCACGCCTATAAGTTTTCAGGGGTTTTTGTATTGTGTCCATTTTCGGTATTACAGATTTTCTTTTTATGCTTGTCCCTTAGTTTTCTGTAGAACAATAATACGGTTCTAAAAAACAACAACACAACAACAGCGTAGTCTTAGAAACTACGCTATATTTCATTGAAATTATCATTTTCATTTCTTAGCACTTTTGAAATTTGTGCTTGGATGTCCTAAACGTGTTTGCTTTTTCTAACTGCGTGCATTCATACAATTTACACATTAAAAAAACGTTTTTCTTTTCCTTTTCCTTTCCGGCATTAATCTAAGTATGAAACAAGAAAGAAATTTATACATGGGATTTGCGAGACCAGATAGATCAATGCGAAGTTTACCTACTAAATTGTAAGAAATGGGATCTTTGTTAGCGACTTTACCAACAAAACTCTACAGTATAATATTAGCTGGATAACAATTCCAGTAACTCGCGAAGCTACAAACTGTCTAGGTCGGACATAAGAGCGCAACTAATATTTAGCACTTATTAATGTTACAAAATCAGGTATTCACTTCTTCTCAGATGATCACCGATGAAACTTTTACTTAAAATCATACTAGGTAGGATTTCCTCCTAAATTCAGTTTACGCCGTTTTCCCATAAATTTGCATGAACCTTTCGATTGAGCGAGTAGGCAACAAAATAAGGTATTAAGGAAAGAAATGAATATAAAGCTAACAATTTGTAAACCTTAAATCAGATGTCCCATTTGTTCTTCATTTAACTGCAACTGAAGAAAGTGATAATGCATAATCCCTAAAAACACTCCTATCAAAATGAAACTGATTATTTACTCCATTTACTTATGTATGTCATAGGCAATTCTAAGTTGCCACATGCAAGACATTACGTTCACTGAAATTCCTTAATTATGCTAACAAAGTCAACCTGAAAATATTTTTAATATCTTACGTGAATTGCATAAGTGTTGATTATCATGTCATGTAAGTTGTTAAAATTTATTTTTTTAAACAAAATTGGTTTGATTAAGTGTGTTTATATGGCCTTAATGTAGTTGTTGCAGATTCCTTATCCAAAACAAATGATTTTGATTTCCTTTCAACGGTCTTGGCTGTGACATGTTTGAATCAATTTCTTTATTATTTCGAGTAAATATTATCTTCTGCATGAGTATTTTGAACTTTTATTTTATTTTATTTCCGCCCATGTGATATTGTGGTTAGGGGAGCCTGACTGCAATACCGAAGGGCCCGGCTTCAAATCCCAGAGAAGACATGGATTACTATCTGTCCCTTCATAGGAGGTAACGGTGGCCGCCTATTAGGTGCCTCCACAATAAAATAGCCAGCACTTCTGGCCTTAGGAGTGGCCAATGCCAATTATAGGCAAGTGCCCGCCATTGGGGAAAAAAAATTCTCTTCTTTTTTTCTTTTGAGTGGCAACTGTAATTCGCCATGATATATTCTTGCTTATGTTTCTGTCTGAAAAAAAAAAAAAAAAAGTTTTATTTTTCATACTGAATTTTTACTTCAAAGCTGTAAATGTTTAACAGCAATCAGTTGTTATGTATTTCAAGGACGTTAATTTTGAATTAGTTTAGAATTGCGTTGAATTTAGACGGAGTTTTGTAATTTATTAATACGGTTCCATGCAGTATTATTTCATCACCAATGTGCATTTTTTTAAAACATAGTTATTGCAAGGGAAGTTAAAAAGGCCCTTTTTAACTTCATATAAATAATATCCATAACTATTACTTTTATCCCCTTAAAAGCTTGGTTATTCGTGATTTGCTTTGTGAAATTCGTAAAATTGACAGCGTCTGTATATATGTCTAGAGAGAGTATAAAACTTTAAGAATATACGTATGTTATTTAAATGCGGATGTGATTATGTAGTACATCCAGATCATTATACTGCTTTCGCACCAAACATAAACCGCATCAGCGCTCTGCGAAGGAAATTAATTTATTCTCGTCTGTAGTGGCAATATGATATGCATCTGCAGAAATGCCCTTCCTTCGGTTATAAAATTATTACATTTTTATAATTAATTACTATAATACATTTTAAGTTTTAATGGTGTTCATTTCATTGGTTGTTAATTAGAGCTTCTGAAATTTGCCATTTAATAAAATGTTTTACCTTATACAGGCTCATATGCTGGAGCTGTCCTGGGTATGCCACTGTCTGGAATGCTTACGGATTATATCAGCTGGCAAGCCTGTTTCTATATATATGGTACGTAAGCTAAGCTATGTTATTCATTTTCTTTTATGATTCAGTTAATTTTTGAATGAAACAGAAAATACCAGACTGATAGAAAACTACAAGTTAATACTTTAACTTAACAACGTGATGACGAGTGAAATAAACCACGAAGTTACAGATGCCTTAAAATTCATTATATAGTTTTCTTCTTCTATTATAAAAGTGGTTCATTTTACTAACAGTATTTGCCATGACACTGTAGAAAATTGGATTATTATTCATAAAAGTAAAAATATTAGTTTGTGTTTCGCATGGATTTATCTCACTAAATATCTCAGAACTTACGAAATATTTAAAACATTTTTATAATAAACAGAACTACATTCGTAAAAAGTAAGCAAGAAAGAAAATATGAAAGGATTTCATTTATTACTAATTATCGGCTGGAAGAGTGAGATTACACTAGATGGATTCATTAAAATCATCTGTATCTATCTATCTTTGTGTATATATATGTATATATATATATATATATAAACGACGTAAACAAATAAACAAATGTAAAAAAGGACTACTTAAAACCCTGCGCCTAAGCTGCAATGATTTAATTAGTAATCATAATCATAATTAAAAGGAAATACTACTATTACAATTCCTATATTTCAAACTAAAATTAAGTAAAAGAATTAAAATTTGAAGTCGAAATAAATTCCAGTTTATAAATTCGTCTTTTTTAAGGAATCTATAAAAGTTTTTGAATTTTTTTTTTAATTTAAAAGGTTTTAGAAATTTTTTTAACTATTTGCGATAGTAAAAGGAAAATCGGCGGATATAAAAATTGCTCTACAAGCAATGGCGGCTAATAGTGGAAATAATATGCAAAAATTGCTAATAATAATTATAGCCAATAAAAAAAAATCTGAAAGCTTTCGGATTTCACATTACGCCCAGGGGGACTTTTTTTAACGTTTTGAGTGTGTTAAATTATCACAAATATTTTTATTATATATTAATTATTAAATATCATTTTCTTCGCACTTAAACCATAAAATTCAATTCAACAGTAATATCGCAAAATTTTAAAATGAGCATACCTTTAGAATTTCCAATATGGTTTCCAATATTTCATGGCTAGTGTATGATGTATAATTCTAAGTTGCACAATACTTAGTTCTTCCGGTATTTTATTGTTACGAATATACTAAAGTACATCGACTGTTTCTCAAAGAGCAATAGCTTTCGCTTAGTGGAACTTGGCAGCTCAACCATGTTTTTGTTATACCATTTTTCAATATTCTCTATATTATTTCATTAAAATTATTTCATTAATAATCATCGCTATATTATTTCATTAAAAAATTCGATTTTTTTTTTAATATTCGCTCTATTTATTCATAATTCATGCGATTTGATGGCAACATCTTTTTATTTATAATGCCAAGCAGTTTTTCCATATATACTCGCTGTATTATATTTTATAAAATAAAATGTAGAGGTAACATTTGGTGGCAACATCGTTTTATTTGTGTTGCAATATATTTTTACTTCCTTGTATAAAGTAAAGGAAGTATTATAATCGCGAAACACTTTTGATACAATATTTTTTCAACGAAAATATCCGTTTTTATCGCTCTTGAATCCATCGGAATTTATGTAACATCTGTACGTACGGACAGAATAAAGGACTTTTTTTTTTCCAAACGGATTATAAAATGAATTTAATATAGTTGCGAGAGGGATTTTTTTCATTAAGTCCGTACGTACGTATCTCGCATAACTCAAAAACGATTACCAGTAGAACGTTAAATTTTGTATATATGACTGCTATAACATGTAGTCGTCCACCTCAATTTCTTTGTTGTAGTTGGCCTCACCAAACTGTATATATACACACACCGTCTTACCTGGCTCGGTACGCTCTGTATTTTTATTCTTATTTGTTGTTAAATTGTTAATTTTTTGCTTTGAAAGTGATTGAATTAGGTTACGTGCGTTACTTAATATTCCTGTTAATTTTTTATGCCTTTGCATGTTAATCTGCATGCAATAGTTCTAGAATTGTCAACAATTTAAAAGTGGTTCTAGGCCTAACGTGGCGGTTGTTTGCTTACATTTGAAACCATTGATAGTATAACGAATTGAGTCAGTTGGTGCATTAAGTTCAGTGTCTTTTTCCCAGTAGGACGAAAGGTTAACTTTCAGTTTTCGTGTCCCGGAAAGTTGTCTTCCTGCCCGTTGGCGGAATTGCTTTTTTTGACCTAGAAACTCTAATTTGAATTGCGAAAATTGCTTTTTTAAACTGTTTTTAACTTTATATGGTGTTTTAGGTTTATTAGTATTTTACAATTTTTAATGAAGGTGTTTTTATGTATTTTTGCCTTGCCGCGTAATGAGAACTGAATTGACTGAATAAGAAATCTATCTGTAATGAAATTCCAGGAAATAACTTTAAATGAAGGTCAACAAAAATATGTATAATTTAATATGCCATTCAAGAAAGTCTTGTGAAGTCCACATCATTTTTTTATGTTCGCTATATTTCTTTAAATACATCACACGGCGATAAAATTTGGTGGCAACATTTGAAAAGTGATACGAATAAAAATATGAGGCTTGAGACTAGAACTAGAAAATGGTAAATAGGGTACATTTGACTTTTTTTAACTAAAAAACGATTACTCTGACTGCATTCGAAGAAAAAATATGAAAATGTAACTTCAATGCAATTTAAATTTAATTACAAGAGAAACTCGCCAATGTAAAATTTTAAATAACTGAAATAACCTCTAAAGTTCTCAGTGTGACTCAAGTGCAAATATTTTTCAAAGTTTATTGATTTTTGGAATACTGTGCACATAAATCGTTTCGAATCAAATGATAATATGTTGCCAAACGCAAGGAGTAAAGCGAAATTTTGCGACAAATTTCTTTTCTACGGATTTTTGAAATTTCATAAATATCTCCAAATGAAAACAATTTTAAAGTACCACTGCTTGAGTATTTTACGGGATATTTTATGGTATTCTAGTAAAAGCGTGATGTAGAACTTCAATATCTCCAGAATATGTTAAAGTATGTGAATCATAATAGTTAGATAATTAATGAGAAAATAAATGTTTAGGCATCTTACACATACAAGACAAAAAATCAGCGTTCACTGTGGCTTAAAACTAAAATTAAATTTAGAATTTTGGACTGCATTCCAGTATTCGAAGTCAAAGATAAGGTTCGCAAGAATGCTAAGGCAATGCAAGGTAAAAAAGAAAAATCACAAAGAAATTGGGAAAATTCTAGTATTCCAACGTGATTTCTGCATCCAAACTTCGCTTTCAAATATTTTCGGAAAACACTAAGCTGGAGTTAATTGCGTTACGCGTAAATTATTGGATAAATGCCGTTTTAGAAAAGTTTTGAGATATGGTGACTTAAAGCAAATGGTTTTTAATCCATGTTATCGAATCCAAAACTTAACAAGCAAATAACAAAGTGTAAACCTACTGCGTGTCGTATATTTATTCTTCCTGTCTAAATTAAAATCGCATTTCAAAAAAAAATTCCTTTTAAACTCATTGGGACATCAGTGTTCATTACAACATTGTACTTCAGAATATTGTAATGAACACTGATGTTGAACCCTAACAAATGGGTTGACCACATGGACGTTTCTGTAGCTTTCCCATAACATGTATAATATACACTCATGTCCATAAATTAAGGATAATTCAGAGTCACGCGGAAATCGAACTCTGAAATAAATATATCACCTGTAAAATCACTACACACATCTTTAAGAATCATATGCAAACTTCAGGAAGTAACCAGATGACACCGATGGTACGTCACAATGACGAGAGTGTAAGAGAGTGATATATAAGGAATACAGGCAAAGAAGTAAAATTGTTCGTAGGCGCTTTATAAGCAATTCAGTGCAATACCCAAATAGTTATGACACAAGGACGCATTTGGATCGTTTTTTACGTGGTAGAATTATTGGCCGTCTGTAATGTGGGCGTACCCAACTGGAAGTATCAGACGAACTTGGAATTTCCCAGAGTGTCATCTCCAGGCTTTGGCAACGATGCGTTCCAATTACTGCAACTCACTGGCGCCTGCGGTTAGCCTAGAGTAGAGAGCATGCATTGTGGACGGACACCGCAACAGTTGGGCTTGTGTGATGTTTTCCGACGAGTCCAGGTTTAGCTTGCAGTCTGATTCTCGCCGGACTTTCATACGGTACCCGTTACCACCAAGAAAACATCATTGAACGACACCGTTACGGTGGTGCAGGAGTGCTCGTTTGGGGTGGAATTATTCTGGGTTCCAGAACTGACCTGCATGTTCAAATTGGAACCATGACAAGCCAAATCTATCGGGACGTCATTCTGGAACAACATGTACGTTTGTTTCGGGGCGCCATGGGCGCACAATTTGTGTTTATGGACGACAACGCCCGTCCTCACCGTGTAAACATCGTAAGCGAATGCCTTCAATCGGATTATATCACCTGTATGAACTGGTCAGCATTCTCACCGGACTTGAATCCAGTAGAGTACGAGTGGGACATGCTTGGCCGACGAGTTGCAGCCCATCAACCTCCTCCTACATGTCTACCGGAACTTCGGAGAGCATTACGTTTTGAGTGGTGTCATATCCCCCAAGATCAGATCGATAATTTGATACTCAGCATGCCTAGGCGTTGTACGGACTGTATTGCATCGTCTGGGAGACATACAATGTATTAACAATCATACCAACCATGTAATATTGGTTTTTTGTAAATAGGTTTTTTTTTTTTTTTTTTTTTTCTGTAATTTGCTCCAGGGAGAAAAATTCGCTAATTTTTTTAATAATATCAAACATATAGCATCTTTTTTTTTTGCTCTTTACCTTTTGTTTAATAAATAAGCTTTACAAATAAGTCAAATTTGTTTTGCTTCTAACTCTTCCTTTGCCTGATTTTGCATTATCCTTAATTTATGGACATGAGTGTATTTTCGGCTAACTTTTATGAAAGTCATTTCAAGCATAAG